TATCAATTAAATTCTTTAACATTTATTTATATATTTATTTATTTCTTTGTTTTAAAAAGGTTTTTTCTTTAAATATGAGATGCGATCTTCTAGTATCATTTATCTAACTATTTGAATAACGATCATCTTTTTTCAAATCACATTATAATAAAGTATTAACTATTTATTTACATTACATGTATAACCTTTATAATAAAGTATTAACGATCATCGTTTATTTTTGGGTAGGTTTTTTAAAATTAAATGATAACAAAGCAAATAACTTATTCATACAAAAATTTTAAAAAATCCTACACTGAATGGATTATTAATTAAATATAGAAAAAATTAATGATATTGACCTTTTTTATATTAATGCTAATTACGCTTGTATTATTTCTTATTAAAAATCCGACTTATTTTTATTGTACTTCTCTCATTTTGTTATTGTAAGAGTATTGTATGTATGGTTTGTACTTAATGTTGAGAGACAGAGATGTGTTTTCTTCTTCTGTCAACATTATTTTCTAACCAATAATCAAACATTATTTTTTTCATGGCAAAAAATTATTAGAAAGAAATTTCTTCTAATAAAATCTTTTTACATTATTAGAAATTATTGATATTACCATAGAAAATAATATATGAAATAAAAAAAAGTAGGATATCTCAATAAAAAAATATAAATATGATGAATGCTAACTTAAAAAGTAATATATTAATTAACCTTATAAAAATGCCATTTCAAAGGTGAGAATTTAATTTTGTAATACTGAGTGGATAAGTATTGCAGAAGCAGGAATCATGATTCTCCGTATCCGGGGAGCTCAAAACACGATGATATCGGATGCACCGAATTGTTTCCCCTAAAGAAGAGTCTTCAATCAGAGAATCTCTGTCGATCACATATTTTTTATTGCTATATTTTGAAGTTTTTGACTATTTTTTTCCATTAAATTTATCTTGAAATTTTGGGTGACATCATAAGAAGAATAAAACTATAAAAAGCGCGCTGAACTTTAACTGGCAACTTCCAGTTCTGTTGATAGAAAAAACCGCGCGGGAATGACCGGTATTTCCCGGTAACCGTTAGATTAGACACGTAACACTGACATGGTGGAGGCAAAAAGTTCTGCAGTGCTTTGGATATATACGACTTGTGTTTTTAGAGGTTTACCGCAAAGGCTGCTCAGTTTGGGAGCTTCACATCTTTGACTCTTCCATTTATTTTTTAAGGATTTTTTTATATTAATTTTAAATATTAAAAGATAATAAATTTCTATTTAAAAAATTATTATATTTTTATACTTTAATAAAATAAATTATATAAAAATTATTTTTATTTTTTATGAATTAATTTGCATTTGAAAATAATTTAAAGTAATATTTTTGTTTTGATATGACAGAATAGATTCACTATAAAGACAAAATTACCAAAGTTTTTTTTAATTGTGAGTGAGAAGATAATGGACTGTTCTCTGATTAGCACCGTCATTTGTAAGAAAAATGGTTGACACTATTAATATCATTTTTAATCGCGACGATGTCACCTTTTAAGGGTTTCCACGATGCACTTAAACAAATTAAACGTTTTTAAATTGCTTTTTTTTTTCAACGTCATTTTTAAAAATCTGTAGACGTTTGAGGAATTCAAATAATGTAAAACAAACACTATAAATTTCAGAGCTAAAGATTAAAATATGTTTTCAACTATAAAAGAATACAAAATTAATTTCCCCGCCAACAATTTAAAATTATAACAGGCTAAAAAAAATTGTACACAGTAAAATTTAAATGCAAAATTTTTTATTAAACAAATTAATTTAACACATATAAATGCAATAAAACTTTACACCGCATCAACTCTTCAAAATAATAGAGGATGCTTTCAAAAACATATCGTGCAACAAATATTAAAAAATTTAGAAATTTGAAAATTTACTTATTTTGGTATGAATCTTATATTCTCCTAGAGCACCCACATATTATTGTCATCCTCAATTAATTTAACTTTTATTTTATTTCCTTAAATATTTAAAATTTAGTGTAATTATTTAATAATAAAAATATTTAAAAATAAAATATTTATTATATTTTATATCTTCATTTACTTTAAAAAATTGTAAAAATATGAATACAATATTTTTATGTAATTTAAATAAAAATTGACTTCTAAAAACAAAAGTTTAAAAAGAAATTTATTAATTTATTTATTATTTTCTTCCGTTTCTTTCTACTCTAACGAACAGAGATTAAGAGCTCAAGCTAATAAAACCTTTTAATTGTTTAACATTCACATGAGAAGTTAAAAAAGGGTCTGGTCCCATGGCTTTCGTACTTGAGCGATATGTTTAATATTTATAAACGCCATTTGAGAATTAAACAAGCACCCAACATATCTTTTTTAATTGTACATGTAAAAAGAATATTTAAATATATTTTCTATGTTTGTTATTTAATTTTTAAAAATTATCATTTTTTATTCTTGATAATGACATGATCAATAAAACAATTATTACATGTCAATTTTTACATTTCATATCATTATTAAAAATTGAAAATATTAATTTTAAAATTTAAAAACAAATTATATAAAAAATTTGAAACAATTAGAATTAAAATTTTAAAAAAATTAAAAATATATTTGAGTTCTTTGAAAAATACTAATGAAAGTAATATTCCTCTAGTTTTTCAACCCAAAAAAGGTGTGGACGTGGTTTAATTAGTGGTTGAAGAACTTCTTCAAATACCAATAAAAGGACAATTACGGCTAAATGCCAAAAGTGGTTGTGTGGCATAAAGTTAATGGGTCGAGTATTTTCGGTTAGTTTATACTTCCATGTTGTAATTAATGTTATATATTTAGTTTGTTAGTAATTTCTCAATTTATATTAAAATAAAATAATTTTTTTATCGTGTTTGCTAAAGTACTTTTAAACTTAAAAAGACATTAAATATTTTTTTAGATTATACTAAAATATTAAAGAATTTTTATATTTTTTGAAATTTATTATTAACTTTATTACTAAAATTAATAATTATGATTGTTTTTTATATATAATAATATAAAATATTTTTTCATTTTTAGGAACACCGTAGAGTTTATCATGAAAAAATATTAAGAGAATAACAAGCTGTTAATGAAACATAATACAAAAATGCATTTGTAAGAGATTTTCGCTTCCTGTTTTGAAATCACTTTTGACTAGAATCGGATGCAAAGGAAAATATTAAGAGCTCTCAAAGGAATTTCTTTAGACAAGTGATTTTTAAGTTTAAACACGTCGAAAGGATATCCCCATTCCTTACGAAACAAACGTGTGCAGACAGAATTTTCTAAACATTGTGGGGTTAGAATGCTTTCGAATTAAATACATAAGTGATTATGACGCTTGTAAATTGGTATGCGAAGAATATGATATACTCCATCAAAGGAATTACAAATTGTTTGATGAACATTTGATGCGTCACATTTAAATAGTTATAAATTTATGTTTATAACTACGTTATTATTTATGTTCTCTTGTGTTTTTTTTTTTTATAATGTAAAATTGTAACTTAGATACACTTTATCATATTCATTTAAATCTTTAATCATTATTTGACATATGTATATATAGTAGTGGAGTCTACGATCAAAATACGCTTATGTTCAGAAATATATTTATATATGTCAAATACTAAAAAAAATTATATTATTTTATACAGTCTCAGCTAAAGCATTTTTATGAAATTGTATTAATATACAAAATTGTAAAAAGAATGGCTTTTCCAGCATCCTAAAGCCAACCGATTTGTCCTTTTGTTCTATTGGGACAGCAAGCTGATCGACCCTGTCCTCTTATTTTCTATTCCTGCCAAATTAAGTTTCTGCTAACCCATTCTTTTGAAGCCTAAAAATTAGGGGTACCCAATTTTTTGGGTTTTATTTTATTAAAATCCTCAAAATAAATATGACTGATTCATCAAGTCCCTATTCAACCTTTCGCCTTTGCATAATTTGATGCAAGCCATACTTGACAGATATAATACCAGCCGCAAGAGTTCTTTTCATAATTTTCTCTATCCCCCTACTCCAACCATCACTCCAGAATCAATATACCTTACACCATTTTTTATGATAATTTTTTTAATGTGTTCAAGAATATGCACACTAAACAATTAATAAATAATAAATTTTTTACTATAAATTATATTATTTAATATTATCAACATGTTTTAAAAATATTTTTTAGTAAAAAAATCATTTCACATGTTTAAAATTTTTTTAACACATAAAATAGCTATGGTATTTTCATGGATTTGACAATAACCCAGTGTGGAAATGTTATTCGAAAATCAAGTCCATAGTTAAATTATAGATCTCTTAACCTAAATTAGGAAAGTTTATAAACGAAATTTTATCTCGGTAGAAGAAGCAACTTAATTCTTTGAATGGATTCCCATTAATTTGATCGGATATTGAAATCGTGAACTAAATGACAAATGTATTATATCCAGTGAATGGGATAACCGATGGCATCAAGGAGGAGGAGAAAAGTGAAAAAGTGAACAAATGCATTTGATTCATTTCCATTCACCTATATACATCTCAATCTGATAAAAAAAGTTGGAGTTCCATATGTCACCTCTCTCCATCTCTTAGAAAAGAAAAACTTATAAGGATCAGTATTCTATTCTAGCAAATGTGTACAAGATGCATATACATAGTCGCTCTTGCTTTCAGCATTCTCCATAACCATTGTGTTCAAAGTACACGCATACTATATATACTGTGTTATACAAAGTATGAAGGTAATTAAGATTTAAGAACGAAAAATAAAGAAAAGGTTTGAATTAAAACCCGAAGTCATGTGGATCTCAATTGTATAACCAAAATTAACCTTCTCAATATTGAAATTTTGTAAGTGTACTAAGTCAGATCAGGAGGGGTACGTGTAAGTTGCAGCAACCCAACACTGAATGGGATATTCGTAACCATGCTATATCCAAATAAGAAAATGTAGAATCACGAATACCTTTCAAGAGTCTTCAGTAAATATTCTAAATATGAAATCACGAAAACGCCTTGAGTATTGTCTAGGATCAACAGCTGATATTGAGGTCGGGTCATATTGAATGGACTTGTAAGCATGCTCAAGCTTCTTGCTAATGTCATAGTCTTGAAGTATGTCTATGATGCCAAAAGTCAACACGACATCATAGAACTCTCCAATTGGGTCTCCTACAAGCTGTAATTCGAGGTCACCTCTTCTAACTGTCCTTTCAATCTTTGCTGGCATATTTTTACCCAGGACGATACTGCATATACCCAAATAGGCATAGAAAACCGTATTAAGATTTGTGCTTTTCGTGTTGTTGGAATGATAAATTCTTGTGAATATCATTTTCACCGAATGCTGGTTTAGGATTATGTATGCTTTCACGAAGACATGGAGAGTACCATAGAATAAAACAAATCTAGATTTCTTGAAAAATGTTGTATAGTCCAATTCTTATTAACTGCAAACTAAATCAAAATATAATACCTTAACTGAAAAAAGTTATGCAAGAAAAATATCGAGGGGAAGTGCTTGATTTGAAAGAAAAATTCTAAGTATAGAAAGTAAGCAGTTGAAATTCTAAGCTACCGCTGCCGCTAGTGTAGTTAACATTCTAAGCTACCGTAACCATTAGGCTTAAGTATTAGAAATGCATTAGGGCTCTTTGGAAGTGAGGCTTTAGAGCAGAAGGAAAGAGAGGATATATAATTTTTAAATTATAAGAGTTACATAATATTTATAGAAAAGCAACACATTAAGTTTATGATACTTTATTATTATTTTTATTTTAAAAATTTATTAAATTATATAATATTTATAATAGAAACAAAAAATTATCCTTTCTTTTCTTTCTTTTCTATTTTCTCCAATATCTCACTCACAAAAAACATATTCTTAGAGACAGGAAAAGGGATAAAGCCAAAGGGAGCAAAAGATAGTGAACTATGGCATAGTAATTAAAAAAGGTTCAATTGTTTTTGAACTAATTGCTGCAGGTCATAAGACCTCTCTTCTCTTTTTACACGAACAAACTAATAACAAATATTATGTAGCTAACAACATGACTAATTTGCCAAGTGCTAAGTGTTAAGTGCTAAGTGTATTTTCCACTATACAGCCGAGTTACTAGTGGTAAGGTTCGTTCATTGCATGTTGATCCACGGCTGCATGGGAGTGAGATGTGAAGTCTATGTTTATTGTCTCGGTTAATTAATCTAGTTTGTTATGGTATGTGTTTCTAAGCAGCATAAATTTGCGCACATCTAATATTATACTCTTAAACCAAAACAACTTTAGAAAGACATTGTACCTGGAGGGATCAAAAGGAAGTTGATCTGTGTCTTCACTTGAAGTTTGGGGAGTGAGTTCATTTCCTAATTCACCTGAAGTTGGAAAGCAAAAGGATTCTTTGAGTTTTCAAAGCACACACACACTAGTGTGCATATATATATATATATGCACACACACATAATCATTGAGGCTATAGACTACTTCATATATCATAAGAAATTACCAGTAGGAGTCCGAGATTGTGAAGGAATAATATCTCCATCTGGTGATATATTCTTGAAATAAATTCCCAACAGCAAACTATAGTCCATGATTCCCTCCTGTTCCAGAAGCTCACAGTCCTTATCAACTTGTCTGGAGAACAAATATGTGCTTGACATACTTAGTTTAATTTGACATAAGACAATAAATTAAAATTGCAAAAGTTAATTTGATTCACAGTTGTTCAAAACTTAGCCCTATTATTAGGCTTCTTCAAAGAGAGAGCACTTCAAAGAAAAAGTACAAAATTATAATCAATTATTAAAAAGTGAAGAGAGTGAATTTTAACTTTGTTGAACGCATGTATTTTATCACGATTTAAACCATTATTTTAAAAATTTTACAAATATTATAATTCTTCACTTTTTCATCAAATGTGCACTCCCTGTCCTAATTGAACTTTTAAATATAAAATTTCAAATTAAGGAATGAAAATCATTATTACCTGCAAAAATCTTGAAACCAAGACTTTTCCAGTCGAAATATAAAATTAAGATCAAGATCTTTAAGGATGGTAGTTTCACTAATTTCTGTCTCGGGTTTATCTGAGGTGCGGCCAAGCGAAGAACCCTTCAAATCATAGCGTCTATGGGTGATATACCCAGAACAGAAGAGATTGCCCATTATGATAAATCGAACCTAGAAAATCAAACATTAAAAAGCGTATTATACTCAAACTATAAAACATCCTTGAAATTTCTATCTCCCCATAAGAATAAACACTAGTTAATGTAAAAAAAATTGAAAGTTTATACAAAAATAATTATAATAATAAAATTTTAGAGCAGAAAAAAAGTGGCCTCCTTATTTCATACAAATTTCTTTCAGATGGGATTTTATATGTTGACACTCAGGATAGGAAATGTACCTTCCTCTGAATAGGTCCATTTAACTTTACACAATGCAGGCCATAATACTTTGTCACTAGAGTATTTTCATGGTCTCTAAAATGATTGTAATAGGATGGAAGCATTCTCAAGAGAACCTGTAACATAAAACCAGATTGCCAATTTTTAAGAAACATGTCATGATTCCTAAGAAATTTCAAATATATCAAGACAAACGGGGAACTAACTTTCACTTCGGCTTTCTTCATTGTCTTAATCATGTAACGATCGTCATTGGTCAAGTAAAAGAAGCTTCCACTTTTTCCAGGAGAGCAAAGTTCACGGAGGGCTTCATTTCCACATAGGGATAACATATAATCTGCTGGATCCACCTTGAATAGCTTCCTAAGTGTTCTGAGGACAGAGTGCAATGTAATTAGGTTGAGGAAAATGCTACTCATCCAAAGTTATATTAACTACAATATTGGTTTATGAAACCCCTATTACTTAATGGTATTCACTAGTTACTTGGTTAATTGACTACATGCAATAGTATTATAAAAACTTGGATTATGGCATGAGGAAACCATAAGTAGCTTTTTCACAAAAGGACTACTTAATGCGAAAAACAAGAGTCTTAATGCCAAAAGGGTTGTATTCATTGAATGAATTATATAATATGACATGACAAGAATCAACAATGGTTAAGTTATTAATGGGGCTAACCTAAAAACTACCGGGCAATAGTCCTTCCACTTGAAGTCACACGATGGATGTGGTGGGGTGTATTTAGATCCTTCAGGTGGAAATCTTGTCCACACTTTCTCCTTGGGATCAAAAGCTGAAGGCTTAAGATCAAGTGATGCTGTGGGAGCAGGCCTTGCAACCGAATGCCTATGAAGTTCAAGAAATTATAAAATGTGAAACAGAATTAAGTTATGGGCAAGAATAAAATAAAAGCAAACAGAAAGCCCAAATTTTTTTGGAGGGGAGGGACAACTACAGTTATTACCTGTAAACTTGGATGAGCAGAATATATATGACTAAATTCAAATAAATAAGAGGATATCAATTTATTCTTGAAGGAAACAGAATGAACCATAGAAGTCGTGTTTCCTTTCTGTTGAGGGGTGGTTAACACTTGAGATGTTGTATCACTCTTTGACTTAATATAATTAAGAGATAATGAAATGCAGTTTTGGCAGACAAGAAGATAAAAGAAATAATAGAGCAAAATTAAAGCAAATTTTAGTCAGCATTCCTTTTAGTATGAGTCACATGAAATATGTAGACTCGCACTATATGTCATTTTAACTCTTTCATTTGGGTTTTTTTTTTTTTTTTTTTGGCCTTTATGCTATTTAGTTTTTTAAAGTTAATGGAATAATGTAATATTTTTGGCGCATAAGCGACATAACCAGAGCAATTAATTAGCATAAATTACATTGACAGAAGGTAAATAAATCTAGATATCTAACAATGATGAAAAGCTTAGGAAAGTTTTATAAAAATTCGAATACACATATATATATACACGCACCTGATTCCCAGTTGCAAATTAAGCATGAGCTCATAATTTTTGTGCCCTTTGCATATGATCTCTCCCTGCCTCTTTGATTTCTTTGGTGCTTTCAGAGGTTGGAGTTGAGATAGGATTTCATTTGGATCATCTACACGTGAACCCGTCAAACAATCATCTAGATCAGTCCCCATTGTAGGAGTTCTAGCACCACTAACATCACCCTCCCCACAATCCCATAAATGAAATCTATCACTAGGCCTCTCCACGGCAACACTCACCCTCCCATCCACTGACATTCTCCTAGGCTTATTACTATCCCCTCCCTTTGTAGACCTCCAAACTGCAAGCCTCTTTTGTGATGGCATAACCTGAACTTTCTCCCCAGGACAAACCACATACCCACTTAACTCGTTGTACAACTCTTGAGGATCCCACTCACAATTCCCCTCCTCTGATGACTCAGATGGATGGTAAGTTCCACTTTGATCCTTACCATCTTTGCTAAAATTCCCCTCATAGAAACTTCCATCGGGCCATTTGAAAGTTCCACTTCCTTTTGGCAAACCATCTTCCCAAAACCCTTCATACATTTTCCCATTAGCCCAAACAAAAGACCCTTTACCCCAAATAGTCCCATTCCTCCATTCTCCAACATAATGACTCTCATCCTTCCACTCATACCTCCCTTGCCCATCTTGCAAATCCCTTTTCCACTCCCCATCATACCAATCTCCATTCACATAACTCTTCAAACCATGACCTTGTTTCGAATTCATCACCCATTGCCCCTTATAAGTCTCCCCATTACACCCTGTGTACGTGCCGGTCCCATCCATGAAACCACTCTTGAAATCCCCTTCATAAGTAGCCCCTGAAGGCCAACTAAACCTACCCTTTCCCTTAGTTTTTCCTTTGAACCATTCTCCAACATACATGCACCCATCGACCCATAGGTATTTCCCCATCCCATGTGGAAAGTTATTTGCCCATTGCCCCGTATAGTAATCACCATTTGGCAACACCTTCTCTTCAATGTATAAGTCATATATCTCATTTCCATTTTCATCGTTATCATCATCATCGTAGTTGAGGTTGTTCTCTTCCTCTTCTACATGTGCTAGAGTTATCGTCCCAAATATGCTATTTGCACGCTTCTTGGCAACCGCATGCGTCTTTCTCATTGTTGCCTCCCATGCCTTCAAAACACCGCTATCTTTACCAATCATTTTGCTCTCTTTCTTCTTCCTTCTTTATACTCTTCACATTTGCAAACCTTTCTCCATTTGAACTTGTTTAAGAAAAATCATTGACACCCCACATGAAGAAATGAATTCAAAGAATGATATTTTGCATCCTTGAAGAATATGTTTTTGTGTAACATGTAAAGAAGGGGATGGAGACAACAATTTTGATGTGTTTTGTTTTTTACCAACTAAGAAAACCTTTTGATCTTGTGGTAAACATTTTTTTGTTTTCTCATGTTTCCAAAGAGTTAGGGGACGTGATCATGCTACAATGTCGTCAAATTGTGTCAAACTACCGATAGCCGTCACTTGCAAAGTGAGTTAGAGGACACGTCCCTAATTTGGTGCATGTACCGTGTAATTAATTAAGGAAGGTGTGTTGTGATATTGATGAATGAAATCTTGAAAAGTCTGTGCCTCTATGGATCAGAGGTGTAGTTTTTGCTACCCAAGTTTGAATTATTTTTTTGGCGATTGAGAGAGAGCGGCTCCTTCATTTCCTACAACCTCTAAGAACCAAGACATGTGGAGACGAGAGCTAAAATCATGGTGTTTGCATGCTATTCTTAGGCTATTTAACAAAATTTTCATTTTGTGTTTGTTTAATGTGCGGAATCACTGTCAAGCCGTTGGTATTTTATTACTCGATTTGATGCATTGACAATGGTTTAACTTTTTTCTTTTTCTTTTTCTTTTTTTTCAATTACAAAGTATAGATAGTAACCATGAATTTTCAATAATTCTGATTCATGTAATAGTTGACTCAATGGCAAATTGAAGTGTCCTTGACCCGCACATATTTTGTCTTTTTTGGGAGCATCCATTTGAGGGGAAAATTTTATACCATCGTCTTCCTTAATCAATGTTTTTAACTCCCAAGATTATATATTTAAAAAAATTATTAAAAGAGATAAAATTTATATATCTTACATGAATTAGTTTCTGGCTATCAGTTAAAGGATATTTTAGCACATAAGAAAAACATAGGAATGTCTATTACAGCTCTCATGTATCTATTATCATTTCAATTTAGAAGTTTTTTTATGTAAAATATCTTCGCCGTATTGATATGATTTAGAAAGAGAAAATATTTTAGACAAAAATCACTTAAAGAGAACGGTGATAGAGATTTTACAAGTGACAATGGAGAGACCCAAAAAAACAGTGATTATTTCATTCAATCCATATATACCATCCTCTCTCACTTCTTTATAATTACATTTTGTATTATTTATTTTAATTAGATATTTATATTTTATATGCTTATATAATAAAACTTTGGTACAATTATAATTTTATCCTCTAATTGAATTTTATAATTAAACTTTTCCTTTTCATCGAATCATGCTCTTCCAACGTATTCTGACAACCGATTTTGACCCAAAAAAATGTTTATAAGACATTATATTATGCGTGTGCATTTATCAAAGTAAATAGTCAATATGAAATAAAGTCACTCATTATATAGTAGCTAATTTTAGTATAACTATTTCTAGCTTATATAACATGTCTATTTACTTATTAGTCTTGTTAATAATAATAATAATAATAGACCAGAATCCTATATTAAAATTTGCAAGGCCTTTGTAGCAAAAATAAAAATAAAAATTGCAAGGCTATCTTTCGTTATCTTATCATACCAAAAATTCATAAGATCCACTACTCAATATAAATACATATATCTTTGTGCAATTAATGCATATTTTATGGTGAACTTATATTTTAAATATTTCTAATGAATTTGTGTTAGGACTTTGTTTCCCTCTTTTAAATTATGTGATTTATTAATATTTTTTTACACACTTTTTTTAATCATCATGCTTTTACTATAGAGTGAAAATTGTGATTTATATCACATCTTTTATTTAGTAATACTCACAATTTTTTTAATAATAAAGAGAATGAAAAATACTAAAAAATGTGTTATTAACCAGTCAATCTTTGACAAATTTTAAAATATATCATTTTAAATTAATTAAAATGACATTCATGAGTATGACAATCTATATATTACTTTATTTCAATATTTTACAATATTAAATATAGAATATATGTATTTTAATTAAGACTAATAAAAAATGAAAAACGAATAATAAAGTAGATAAAGTAGTTATTAATTGAGAGAAATATATTTCATTTAGATATATCTCACATGAATTAGCTGAATTAGTTCCGACTATCCGTTAGAGGATATTTTTAGTACATAAGAAAAACATAGGCATGTCTCTCATAACTCTCATGTATCTAGTATCACTTATTTAAAAAGTTTTTTTCTTATGTAAAATATCTTTATTATATTGATATGATTTAGAAAGAGTAAAATATTTAGACAGAAGTCACTTAGAGAGAATGCATGGTACGTAATAGACATTTGGAAGTCGCAATAGACACATTGAAAAAGCAATCATCTCGTTCAATCCATATTATACCATCCTTTCTCACTTCTTTATAATTACATTTTTTATTATTTATTTTAATTATATACTTATATTTTATATGCCTATATAAAACTTTGGTACAATTATAATTTTATCTTCTAATTGACTTTTATAATTAAACTTCTCCTTTTAATCAAATGCTCTTTCAACGTACTTTAATAACCAATATTTTTTAAAAAATGTATAAAACATCATATTGTACGTGCATTTATCAAAGTAAATAGTCAATAAATTGATGATAATAATGGTAATGTTTCTATAAAATTATGAAAAATATAATTCATAAGTTTTAAGGAAAACTTTGATTTATTAAATATAAAATAAATAATATTATTTTACTTGAGTATTTATTTTATTTTTTGCTATTTATATTTTTTAATATGTTAAATTAATCATCATTCTTTTATCAAGGTCTATGGATCCCATTTCTCAAAAATGAATTTTAACTAGTAGAATAATTTATAAGAGAATGAAAAATACTTATTTTTAAATATTTAAGGAAGTAAGTATTTATTAAATTAAAAAAATTATTTAAGTGTGTGAATTATAGAGTCAATATTTATTTAGTTGACACTTGTAAAAATATTAAAATAAATCTTTTAAAACCATCGTCTTTAAATAAAGTCAATTTTTATTAGACGGACTATTTATGCTTATTAAACTATTTATTTTGATATTGATGAATCTAGCTTACATTCATTAAGAGGTTACTTTTGTATATTACTTATTTTAGTTTATTCCAAAATATCTTATGAGTAAGGACACTAAAATATTGAAGGTTGTCCATGTATAAGATAACTATATTTTTTCCTATATAGAGATACTTGTACTAAAAACATGCTTAATTCATCATTTAAGCATAATATTTTCATTAAAAATATTTTAAATACTTCTTAAATATATTAAACATTTATTATATTAAAAGTTAATACTAATGTCATCTCTATCATTTTATTCATTGTGTTTTACCTGTAAGTGTTAAAATACACACAAGTTCAATCCCTTCTTGAAACTAAGTTATATTCTATTGCTGAAATATCATTCAAATTATTTGTAAGAACAACTATTTATATGTACTTACAAAATTGTGTTTTAGCTAAATAGATATTTGTAACATTTATCTTGATAACCACTATGAAATTAATTTATTTATTTAAAAAAACTTATTAAGTATTAGCATTGTGTTGCTCTCAAAATACCAAATATTAATTAGTAAAAATGTGTACCTTTCTAAAAATTACTTTAACACCCAAAGTAAATTTAATAATGTTAATTACTTATCATTTAGACGTCTAGAGAAAGCCTTAGGAAAATAAGAAAACACCACAAATAAAGAAAGCCTCCAAAGAAAATAAAGAAAAACTAGACTTTACCTATTTTGAATACTATTTTTACAATGCCAACTTAATTTCAGGATTTTTTTTGCAACTAAGAACTAAGTAAATTAAAATTGGAGACGGGACAACCTTAGTTCAATCTCACAAGTTACACAAATGGAATCATGGCTTAATTGTCAAGGAAACCTATGAAATTACATATTTGAGACCATGCTTCAACTAACAAGCTTAGTTCACGAAACTCATATTTAGGACCATGTCTCGATCAACAAGCTCACTCACCAAGCATAATATTATTAATTAAACATATTGTGTGGATATAGGTTTTTATTATTAAAAAAGAAAAGGCTTTGTAACATATAATCCACTGTATGAATATCTTAAAACAACATTTGAAAGCAACAATTAAATTTAATCCATCAAAATGATATTCTCATTCCCAAATTCTTTCAAAATAACACTTAAGCTATGTTCTCTTGAAACTACAAAACCCACTAACTCCATAAAACTTTATTTAGCCTTTAATCCTTTTAGAGAAATCATTTCCTATGAATTTAGAATAAATGATACTCCTGAAACATGAAATTATAAGGAAATATAAGCAAATGCTAGTAAAAAAACAAACAATAATCTAATTTTTTTCTCCAAAAAATAAATAAATCTATATTTTAGTGTGCTTTTATATCTTATTTTTATATAATTGACTCTTATATGATAAGGATTTTACACTAATTTTATGACTATATACTATAGTTTAGTATAAGAAAATCACAAGTGAATTGAGAAAGTATTTCACTATTTTGGCCGCAACTAAAAAATTTTTGATAAAAAACAATGTCACGTTTAACAAGAAATATGACATTACTTATCATGTTAGATGGTATGCACAAATGTGTTGATTGCCTGATAATTCAAATTTAAAGATTTTTAAGAGTTTTGAGAACTCTATTTAATAAACAATTAAGGCCTGTCAAAAGAAACCTTGTGGACACACTTTGACACTTAGAAACACTTTTTTAGCCAACTTTTGACAACTTTTAGAGCTGTTTAGTGGAGATAATTTGTGAAGACAAATGATATTCTTTTGGAGTTTGAACAAGTAATTAAGAGCGCTTATGGGGATAAAAAATCTTCTTATCTCATTTCCCTTGTGATTCCTTTGATTTGCATTCCTTTTCAAATGAATATGATTTTTTTTACAATATTTTTCTCTTCTTATTTTATTATAAGTAGCTAAATTCATAGTTAAAGTTATGATGAATCCTTTACATAATTTAAGTGAACTTGCAGTTTAATAACAATTGCGATTTTCTTTTTATATTGGTGTTACTCTAATGTGTTTATATTTATATGTTTAGAATTGATCACTCTTAACATATCATAATTGATTGCATTGTAGACGATTGTACTATATATAATTAATGAAACTATAAGACAAAATAAGATAAAGAATTAAGTGGATTAAACTTTTTCTCTTTTAATTGATTATTAAATTAATAAACTCATAAGCTCTTTATATTTTTCTCTTTTTTTTGTCTTGCATGACTATTAGGGATAATAATTTAGAGAAAAGAATATTAACATTACATGATCATTGAGTAATAGTAGTTTTGATATGAATTATTAACAATCATAGAGAGACCGAGACTGAGGGTTGAACTAAAAGTGAACGTAAAGAATGTAAAAGTGGAATCACAAGTTCTTGGTTCATCTCGAATAGTTGTGTGTTAAAAATTGTGCTGCTTTCTTTTCATTTTATTAATCTTCTTAGTTTAAGTCTTATAAAATTCTCTTATACACTATTTAAACTAAAATAATTAAATTACGATATTCTCGGTAGTTGAAAATAATTTCTATAGAACGATATTCTAAAGACTCAATTTGAGAACTTCTTTTATTAATTTTTAATAGATACACTTTTCCTTAAATAGAAACAAAAGTTTGTTGAAGAAAAAATGCATATCTTAAAAAATACATTCCTCTCATAAAGAAAATATTATTTATATAAAATTATACGAAATAAATTATTCATTAACACCTATTAGAAATTAATCTAATTGCTCATGACAATTGTGTGAGAAGTAATTGTGATAACTACCAATGACTTTAAACATCAAACAAAAATAAACAAGTTAGTAGACATCCCTAATTGGAAGGGTTAAGGTTTTAAAGAAGTCATACAAAAAATGAAGAGATTTACTCGTTCTTTCATCATTTATAATTACTCAATAAAAAGTCTTTAGATGTGATGTCTTATTTTGCTGATCATTTTAGTAGTAGAGGTCAGCTTCGACCTACTATTGATGTTAATGAGTTACCAAGAGTCCATGTTCAACAGAATGAGGGAATTATTCATGCTTTTTCAGAGGAGGAAGTGGGGAGGATGATTTTGGAGTGTGAGGGAGATAAGAGTCCGGGGCCTAATGGTTTTAATTTTGTGCTTATTAAGAGGTTTTGGTGAGTGATCAAGGAAGAAGTGATGAGTATGCTTACTGAATTTTTTAGAAATAGGAAACTACCTAAGTTTTTATTATCTTACTTTGTAGCACTTGTGCCAAAAGTGTCTTGCCCACAACAGATATCTAATTTTTGGCCTATCTCATTATTAGGTTGCCTTTATAAGATTATTTCCTAGCTAAGTTGAAAAGGGTTCTGGATTTAACAATCAGCCTTTATCCTAGGAAGGAACATGTTAGATAGTGTGATTGTGGCTAATGAGGCAGTTGATTATGTGTGAAGGCATAACAGGAGGTGTTTTGTGTTAAAGCTTGATTATAAGAAGGCTTATAATTTTGTAGAGTGGAGATATCTTTTGTTTATGCTATGTAGCTTTGGATTTTCAAAAAAATGGGTCAGTTGAATGGAAGCTTGTGTGTGTGTGGTGGTAGCCTGTCAGCTTTGATTAATGGTTGTCCTACATTGGAGGTTTATATTGGGCGGGGCCTAAAACAGAGGGATCCTTTTGTCCCTTTTCTTTTTCTTGTGGCAGCGGAAGGGTTAGGAGTTCTTATGCGAAAGACAATGGCTTGTGGGTTATTCTCTGGTGTGAAGATTGGGATAGGGGGACTGAATATTTCTTTGTTGCAGTTTGTAGATGACACAATGATTATGGGAAAGGCTTTGGTTCAGAACTTGTGGACTTTGAAAGCAGTATTGTGTAGCTTTGAGTTAATGTCAACTGTGAAAATTAACTTTCATAAAAGTTGTGTATTAGAGAGTTACTACATTGTAAGATTGGTAGTTTTCCATTAAAGTATTTCGGGTTATAGTTAGGTGTTAATCTGAGGAAGCCTAATGCATGGAAGGGTGTATTAAAGGCTCATAAAAAGAGATTGGCATCATGGAAGCATAGATATTTATCGATTGGAGCCAGGGTAACTTTGATTATTGTCGTTCTTAATTCTATGTCATTGTACTCGCTATCCTTTTTTAAGGCGCTGAAGTCGGTAATAAAGGAGATTGTCACTATCCAACGAAATTTTTTATGGAAGGATGTTAAAGATGGATCTAAAATACCCTGGGTGAAATAGGAAACGGTTTGTATACCACGGAAGAATGGTGGCTTGGGCATTAGGAATGTGCAGTGATTTAACTAGATACTTCTTGATAAATGGTTGTGGCGAGATGTTAATTGTTTTAGTTCTTTGTAGGTGTGGGTGTTGGAAGCTAGGTATGACATATTAGCTTTTTATATTCAGCGTCCATCAGTCCACAATATGTGTTCTTTGTGGTGGCGTGGTTTGCTAGAGAATATTCATCAAGGGAATTCATGGCTGGATGAGAAGTTAGATAGAAGTATGAGTGCAGGTTTGCACACTCTTTTTTGGAGAGATAAGTAGGTAGGTCGGGTGCAATTGTGTGAGACATTTCTGCGATTGTTTGCAGTTGTGAGAAATATTGAATCTTGTGTATTGGAGAATGGTTTTCATGATAGCACTAGGTGGGTCTGGGATGTTAGTTGGCGAAGAGAATTCTTTCAACATGAGATTTCAAACTTTAATTTTTTATTGGAGATTGTAGATGGAGTTTCTATTAAAGTACTACAAGAAGATAAATGAGTATGGAGGGCATATTCTTCAGGTTATTATTCAATGCAATTGCGTATTCATGGTTATTTGAACTTTTTGATGATCCTAATAGTGTAGATCAATGTATGGAGGATACCTTGCAAAGGCTGTGGAGAGGAAAGGTCCCTCTTAAGTGTCTGGTATTTACTTGGCAATTGTTGTTGAATACACTTCCTTATAAATATTTGCTGATTGATTATGGTGTTCAAATTGATGATAGAACTTGTTACTTCTGTCATGGTTTGGAGGAAGTTCCAACTCATTTGTTTTTAACGTGCTCAGTTTTATCTCAAATATAGTATTTTATTGCGCGTTGGCTTGAATTCTCACTGGTTTTGCCTTCAGATTTATCAATTCATTTACTTTCTTGAGTTGATGTTGGTTATAGTAAAAGAGAAGGGATATGATTGTTAATTTTTTGAGTAAGTATAATGTTGTCTTTATGGTTACATAGAAATAGAATTGTGTTTTCCAATAGTGTTTTGGATGAGAGGAAAGTCCTAAATTCTATTATTCTGAGATCCTAGAAATGGCTATCACTTGTCAGTAAGGAAGAAACTATTTTGTTAGTTAATTGGTATTTAAACCCAAAAAATTATATCCGTCTTAGCTTTTTGTATAAGTATGTTTTTACTTTTTATTTTTCTGATTAAGTATTAGATTTTTTCTCTGTGTATATGGATTTTGAGTTCTCCTTAAATTTGATACTCAATTTGTATATAATCCTTTCACACAAATTTTAATTTCAAATCCAATGCAATTCAATCAAACTTAATGTATTTTAGATTGGACGAAGTCGTCGATTTTAGTTTTGTATTTTTAAGAAACAATAATAAACCTTCAAATGCATGACAAATATAATAAAAAGATATTTCTAAGTAACAAATATCTTATCCCATAAGTCAGTTCTAATAAGCTTGAAATATCTCATTTCATATTCAAATTGCGAAATGTGAACATATACAAAATCGCAATCAGTAGTGGTAAGAGTAATCTCCAATTTCAAAAAGTATTTATTAAAAACTTACATTAATTTCCTCTTAAGAAATTGAGTAAAGATTCAAACATACAACTTGTAAACACAAGACGTTATCAAATCTAATCTAATCTAATTAAATTAGATTTTATTTTTTTCGTTTCTTTGATTTGTATGTTTTTGGTTATTTTGGATTTTTAGTTTTACTTTTACATTCTAAGGTAGATTAACTAGTTTACAAAGATTGTGATTCATTAAAAAAATAATTTTTATATTATATATTTAAGGAAAACAATAAAAAAAATTATTGAAAGTTATAATATTTAACATTATTAATAAGTTAAATTGTGCGATATGCTATGAATTTTTAATAAAAATTTACTATCCATTAGTTCTTGTTATATATCTTTAAACACACCTTTAAAAACTGAAAAAAAAAATTGCATTCTCAGAAGTGTAGGGAAAAACAAAAACCCGTTATTTCAAGTGCTCGAGAGAAAAAAAATTCGTGTATGAATAAATTCTTATCATGTGTCTTTAAGTAAACCTTAAAAAACTAATAAAAAATTGCTTTCTCAGAAGTGTAGAAAAAAAAACCCGTTATTTCAAGTGCTAGAAAGTTGACTATAGCTATATGTATATGCAAAGAGATGAGTGGAAGTTGATAAAACTGATAAATTAGTACAAAGATATATTAATGTTATGCACTTGCAAAAGTACAAAGTAAAGTAATAATCCTGAAGGGCACAACCAATACATTAATTATAGGTTGGTGACAGTATATCAAATCTTGTTAAGAGCAGCAAGAGTGAAAACCGTGAGAGAAGTGATGCCTGGAATGAAAAATTCATTGGGAATTGCCTGAGGCATCACTCTATCTTTGATAAAGAGAGTAGCCAATGGAACACCAAAGATACACAACAATGTTTCCTTTGCCCCTATTCCAGTGAATCCTGAGTCTTTCACCAAATTTTTCATTATATCTTGAAATTCTGATTTTGTCAGCGCCCTGCCCTTCCCTCGATGATTATCCTACACATCCCATTCCAACAAATTTACTATTCTGTGATTTGTAATCAATTTTAATAAACAAAACATAATTGTTAAAACATTTCTCACTGTGATAGAGATATACATACACCTACATCGAATTCCCTCTGCAGGTTGTCGATCTTTGGGAGTGTGATCTGTGTGTTTCCAAGCCTGTGATTGAGTTCCCTGACAAATCATAATCAAAATTTGTGATGGACTAGTGTTTATATATAGATATAACAATCATGTCAATTTACGTATGCTGACTATTTAATTAATTAGTTAGGCAAGCTTTTAATATGAAAATGGTACGTACTCGACTATCTCGCATACTGCACGGTAGAAATCTACGAAAGTATTGGCTTCTTTGACATAATCTTCATAGAATTTTTCTACAATTTGCTCAAGTTCTTTAAGTTTTTTCTCGTCAGTTCCTGCCACAAATTTTCAGAAAAAGGGAACAATTAAAACTGATGTAAGAAACATAACTTTGCACCTGGTGCGTAGTATAAACTACATGAGACAAAACAAGAAACCGCCTAATAAAAGATGAACGTGTTATTAGAAATTACAATAACACGGACGTATGTAATTATTGTTTAATCCGTAAAATAATCAAGGTTGCTTTCATCATATCCATGCATTTTCATAGTCAAAATCATGAGCTAGAGTTGCATGCATGAGAAAATATCGTATTTCACAATCGTTAGCTAACATTGAAGAATAAGATGAGAGTAAGGTGTGGAACCAGGAGCTAATTTCTGCAGAGATTGGCCCATTTTATTTTATTTTTTCTTTGGCTTTGTGACAATGAGGTAGATGGAAGTGGTATAAAGAAATTAACAAAATTATAGGACTTTTATAAAGAATAAAAGCTGCAATAAAACTTGCATGGTCGGCAGAGAACATTGCATCCCTTAGGTTATAAGCAAAGGTAGTTTATAAAACCCAGGACGTGACAACTAGAATAGGCAAATTTGTCAACCAAGAAATGAATCTTATCCATTTCATATTGTTCTTGACTTCTTGCTCTGATCAATACTAATTTTAAACGACAAACAATTCATGGCTTAAGGGCTCAAAGCAATTTTCAATAAAAAAGGAGACAAAATAATTAATACGGCCTTTTATTAGGTAAAATACTACAAAAGCTTAACATCATAAACTTTCTCTTGCATCATCATCATCATGTAACGAGAAAAAATAGTTTGAATTTTGAAAACATTGGCCACATCGACAAATATCCCTAATCGTTATTTTAGTTTTTTTTTTAATTAATCAACAATTTTTTTAGATTTTCTTTCATTATTTTTTTTAATTTTAAACTTTGGTCATTTACCGATGATTATAATTCACTAACTGTCCCAATTTTTTTAAAATTGTAGATCAATTTAAATTAGAATGAGTTAAAAAAAAATATTTTACCCTAATTTAAATCTACAATTTTAACTAAGATTTGTGTCCCCTTTGAGTGTAACGGAACTCCATTTAAGGAATTGTTCCTTGATTTCTTTCCAAGAAATAATTATATAGAGAACGTAGATGATTCCTTTTTTCCCTTCAATAGTTTTGGTGTGCTCATTAAGCTACGCAGAAATTGCGTGTAATATAGCTTTTTTGGCTCTTCCTTTTTCCCAATAACCTGTGGGAATACACTATAAATATTTTTCTTGTGACTACTATTTTTATTTCTTTCTTTCATACATGACACAGAGGCCATTGATTCTTACGCTGTTGCTGCTGCTCCAAATCTTGAATCGATTCTACAAGCATTCAGCTTTGTTGGATTTTCTAAGAGTTAATCTTCTTTTCCATCTGTAAATCACTAGTTAATTTCGACCAAGGATCCCGAGAAGACAATCAATGTAGTGGGAGAAAGGGGAAAGCTTCAATTCAAATGTGTTGACAAGTTTTCATTATTAGAAGATTCTTTCATTATTTGTAATTATTATGATTGTGACTTTCTTATTTCATAATTTTTCTTTCTCATATGTAGTTTTGTATATGTGGGTTTAATTAGCCTCTTATAAATTCATTAAAAATAATATACAATTTCTTTTCTCTTCTTTTCTTCTCTGTTTTTATCAAAATGCAAATTCATGAAGAATTAACAGTTGGTTGTGGATATAGCATAACTCAAACAATATTTAATAGTATGGTATTTCGAGAATGGAGATCAATAATATCTTTCCTTGAACGATTTAATATTTCATTAAGCAAATCAATAATATTTGTTGCCATAGACCTGAACATTCTATTTTATATGTACATGAGCTAAATAAGCATTTTAAGTTCAATTGCCGGGGGACAATATTGGATGTTGCTTTAATGTCACATAAAATAGGTACATTTATTTATATCTTATGCTGAATACTTAATAATAAATACAAGGGGTTGAAACGAAAGGTTGATTTTTGGATTGAAATTTTGTTGACAGATATGATTCATCCCCTGCCCCTTAAAACTGTTATTTACCTATAAATGTCTAAGCCATACCATATTTCTTCATATAGCTAACTAGACATTTAATCAGGCAATGTATACTGCGAAAAAGTTGCTTCATATTTCCCCCCTGAAGCTCTCATACTCAGATTTTCACTGTAAGCTGATTTGAATGAAAAATAAACAAATCCTAACACTTACTATGCTTCCTTGTTTATGCAAATCAAATTCACATTGTTGAATAGTTCTCGTTACTTGGGAAAATGAAGTGTCAACTGGACCTTTGTTTCCCTAAAATTTTTCATGCCTCATTATCTTTGTTTTATTTCCTCTTTTCGGTTCTAGGATTTGACTCTGGATCTCAAATTCTGTTTGACTAATGCTAGATGTTCATTCTAATTCTTCAACATGTTCCTAGATGTTGTAGGTTCATCCTTCTCTTTGATCTTTTTATTTTACATATTAAGATCCTAATGAAATCTACCAAAATTATAAGATGATTTTTATCCATTTATTGTTGTTTCATATAAATTCCTAATAATAGGAGTGAGAAAGAAAGCTGATATATAAACTATAATGTTTTAATGCAGTGGTCCATACATACATTGGTGGTTTTAATAATCAGTGTTTGCTGACATTAATGTTTTTTAATCTTTGTGGCAGATTATTTTATATACTGAATTATATGCTACGTTGTTTCCATTTCTTTTGTTTCCTTTAGCAATCACTCTATTTTACCATTCTAAACTATCTGTCATAGTGGAATTTATCGTCATGGAAGGAGACAACCTTAATTGGGGCAGTTTCCATTTGGACTTGTTTGGAGTTTTGACTGCGGTTGTTGTTCTCCCAACTGTTTGGTTGAATGAGCTTTGTTTTTAATCCATATTTAGCAAGCACTGTCTGTGTCATGTGTAAGGATTCAGCTACAGCTTTGAATCTGTGATTACTAGCGTTTATTGTTGGGACAACAGATGCTGTTGGATACCATCACTGCTTCATTGCTGAATCGGAGTAGCATTCTGTTTGCTTTGCAGGAGATTCAGTTGTTCTAAATATTTATTAGTCCATCTCTGACAAGGAATTTTCAAAGAAGTAAATTAAAGAATATATGAGCAAAAGAGTCACTGACCTAAGCTCATAATTGTCCACTCAATTACTCACTTATTTGTCTGCAAGTTAATTTTATGCATATATGGAAGCGTTGCTGGATGCGGACAATCGTAAGAAACTAGAGATTTTGTGGGTCTCTGCCATTTTTTCCCTCTCTTTCTAGTGAATATTTACCATGTTTTTAATTTTTATTGATTTTACTTACTTCAAGTAACTAGCCCGTTCACTTAATGTCTTTTTATTTTTCATAAAATACTTGTTTATTAATGACCCATATGGCTTGATCATATTGAGGAGATATTTTAAATTTATCTTTAATTTTACATAAATGTGTGCATCACAACTCTTTACTATCTAACTATCGTACTTGAAGCAATTTCATTGATTGAAAATGAAAGTTAGCAGAAGATGATTAATTAATGCCTAAGGCTATTGACTAAGCAAATCAGCACTATGTGCTTCAAGTATGGTAATGGGATAGAAACATAGCTAGTAATTTTTCAGGCGAAATAGTTGTTTTGCATTTACTATATAAGCTGCATTTGTATATATTGAAGAAAATATCGAATGACTAATCAATCAAACATATTATAATTTATTTTTATATTTTTTTTGTATTTTACTTTCATTTTTACTTATTTCTTTTACAATTTTAACCATTATATTTATTTACACTTTTTTTATATTTATTTCGAGTATTTTATCTTTATGTTCTTTAATTAATTACAATCTTTACTCTGAATTACACGTAATTAAAAACTTTCTTAAATATCTTGAGAATTCACAACGAAAGGACAAATCCCCACATTTCATGTAATGTCTAATATCTTTGAAAGGTATCATTTATGTTCAGTATTCAACTAATCTATATTAATTTGTATAGTCGAATACATAACTCTTTTTACTACAAAATTTGTAGCATCTAGAGTCTGTTCATTAATAACTGTTCTAATAATCACCAAGAAAATAGTCAAAAAAGAACATTTAACATCATTTTTAATAACTGTTGGTAAAATTAAGAAGTTTAATGTCAGTTATTATTGAATCGCCACTAATTGAGTTTTGTGCTAATTTTATTTTTTACTCTTATTAGTTTATACAATAGAATACATAATTCTTTCCACTACAAGAATTGTAGCATTTAGAGTCAGTTCATTAATGATGGTTCCAATAATCATCAAGAAAATACTTAAAAAAAAACATTTAACGTCAATTTTAATAACCGTTAGAAAAATTAAGGAGTTTAGCTTCAGTCATTATTGAACCACCATTAATTGAGTTTTTATGCTTTTTTATTTTAAATTCGCACCATTTGTTTACTGTAATTAATTATTCTCCCACCAATTTTTTTACAAACTTTAAGCTGTGGTGCAAATTCAATTTTGTAAAAATATCTCCATAAACTTAATTTCATTCTTCATACCAGATACTTTCATTGCATAAATCAATCATGTTATTTATGAATTTTATAATATAAAATCTCAATGTCGTAACCACAACAATCATATTAAAATTATTATTTTTTATTCTAAAATTTAGTAGCAATTCAAAACTGCCACGAAAGTCATGTAAATTACTGGTAGATATCTAACTACTACCAATCATTCTAAACATTTTCAAAACTTAGCAGTAGTTCAAAACAGCCACAATCTTTTTATAAAAATTTTCTCAAAATTTAGAGGTAGTTTTGAATTTCTACTAATATCTCTTTAATTTATTTTTTTTTAAATATTGGTGATTTATAATTGACTAACTCTTATTAAAAAGCTGTAAGATTTTTTTTAATAGTCTCATAAAACCACCATTATTTAATTTTTCAATTTTAACGTTAATTTCTTAACCATTGAAAAATGATTTAGAGGCAAGTATAAATCGCTGCTGCTAATTAAAAAATTTAATCGCCACTAAAATCAGCAATTTTTTATATTGTTAACACGTATGCTTAACTTAAACTCACCAAGCAGCTAATAAATTTTTACCACAATTAATTTTACGCAAAAAAAAGTCTCTTAATCTCTTAACATGATGGGAAATAACATGGATTGTCAATTTTTTTCTTATAAACAGCTAAAACGAAACATTATTTTAGAACTGCAGAGGTCGAGAAAATGTAAGATGAACATAAAAGATTAATTTGTCTTCAATTCTTGTCCATTCTCTAATTTAACCTTTTTCTTGGTAGCAATCATTCATAACACATTACCTGTTTCATGTCATAGGTGAAGTTACCTGCCTTATACTCAACGATTCTTGGCTACTTTACACACATGATCTTGTTTTTTTGGCTAAAGTACAACATGGCTATTGACTGATAATAGGCATGGTTTTAATTTTGAA